TCCATGTTTTAGTTATGAATTGATTTAAGAATTGATTTAAATGTCAGAAACAGTACTGTGGGAACGAAATTCATATTAGGAGGGGGCGGCTGCTCATTGTATCTATTTCCATTTAGTACACTGTTATACAGGACATAAAGCTTAAGCTGCAATTATTGGGAGAGGGCTTCAATAAGTGAAAATAGTGTAATATTCGGAAAAGGAAATAAGAGAAGGGTCGAAAGGAGTCGAGGAGACAGACGGAAGGTTTTCGAAGAATAAAGATCTGTATCAGGATTTAGCAATGCTAGAGCCAAGAGGATTTGTTGACACAAAAATGAAGCAGGAGAGCAATGAGAGCCTTCTTTTCAAGATTTCTCGTTTAGACAATGTCAGAATTGCTGGGTTTGCAAATTGATACTAGCAGCTTATCGTTCAATTGAAAACAACGCCTGGTGCAAATGGAGATCCAGAAAAAGATGATTTCAAGGAACAAGCTATTAGAGAAGAAATATATAGAGAAAAGAATGTGACTTTCAAGGTGGGAATCAAATTAAGAACAAGCTAAAGCTGAGTTACTGTATAATGCAATTATCAACAAAATTTTATCCCAAAAACGAAAATTTTTAGCCATATGTGGGTGCTTTTCGGTGAATATTCAATCTTGTCGTCAAATGAAGGCTGCCTCACTCATGTTGTTAACAAATGATGCCTGAATACCTCCCAAGAGCGAAAAAGCTAGCAATCGCACTGCTTACACCCTATTAATTTAAGAACATATTAATGACAATCCAGCCTCGGATTTTTGCAAAAATTAAGAACAGTCAGCCTGTACCTAAATATACTGGTTCTTATAAAACTATTAGTGAATACAACATGCACCTAACAGCACACCCTTCCCTCTACAACGCGTATAAATGCTTGATGACATTTAGCTGCACCCAAGTTTCCTGTGAAAAATTATTCAGAGCTATTGATAATTTCAAACGAAGAGGAAACTTTCCACTTGATTTCGAGCAAGTTATTGACCAATTCGCTGATCCATCTGCACTTCTTCAAAAAGATTTGAAGCTCTGAGAACTTAAATAAATTTTGATCTTGATTCTTAACTTTACATCACTTAACTTAACGTCATGCTTTTAAACCCTGTTTACACGAGAGGAAAGGTATGGATCCAATTGGGTCCGAATTTAAGAATTAAAATCGATATACTGCTGCTGTTTAGCGCATTGCTTTATTGTCAATTTTTATTAAATTAATCGTATTTTAAGGCCACATTTTTCGTCGGTGTGGCTCAATTTTTCCGCCACGTCCTAAACCGGGCCTTTTGAGTTTTCTAGCCACCCTGCGATTTTGACGCCAGACCGCCCCTGATCACCGCTTAGATGTAGGCAATCAGCAGAAAGCCATTAACGACAGATGCATCTGTTGTTGGGCTTGGCACTGAACATTCACAGCATCAAGGGGATGGCACAATCAAGTCGTTGCATCAAGGTTGCCTTTGCATCAAGGTTGCCTTTGCATCAAGGTTGCCTTTGCATCAAGGAACTTTTCCAATGTAGAGAGACAGCATTGGATAGCTTAAGGCTTTTGCGTCAGTGGCGTAGCGTGAGCGCAGACCTCAGGCATGCGCTAACATAAAATGTACGGCTATGTTGAGTTAATGTAATCATAATTTCAGCTTGTTAAAAATACAAGCGGTAATTAATGATAATCGTGATAATAAATTTTGATTTTGAAAGTAAGAAATTATTTTTACTCTAATTCAAAACAATTAAGGTGTCTATTCTCTGCATCAAAGGCTCCGACACAGGTTGGAAAGAAAGGGGGGCCAAGGGAAAAATTATCACCCATGCGAAAAGTTTTTGAAAAAAGCTCAACTGTTTTGCAAAATATTTCAGAATAACTTCTAGTATAACTCAGATCATCCCGACAAGACGGGACATTTTCCGGGATTCTTGAGTTTTTCCAAAATGGCTTCCACTCAAATTGAGCCAGAAAATGTGACCCAGGGTATGACTGACAAAAACAAAAGAAGAAAGACCTTCAGGTGGATGTCATCGATGATTGATTACCTACTAAGCTGTTTAGAAAACTACCGTGCAGCAAAGGAGTTCAAAGTCAAAGATTTCGATGAAAATAGGCCAGCCCGATACTCTGCACTACTATTGCTAACAAACTACACCTGAGGAGTTTGAGCAATTATCAGACGAGGAAAAGAAAGGAAAAGAGAAAAAAATGAATTTTAGATAGGAAGTATCAAGTAAGGATACATTTGACAACGTTTCTCTAATAGTTCGAGTGGAAGTAGAAAGATTTTATTGCAACATTCTGAAAGCTATTTGTGGGGGTCTCCATCTGCAGTACGTTTGGAATGTGGCGTTGAAACTGATAAAGTTAATTTTCTGGGCAGTCCTGGAAATGAGATTACTAAAAATTCAGACTATTCAGGATATGGAAATGATAAATAATGGCCAGAATTTTGCCAAAACTCTCCATTGTCTGATGATAATGATCTAACACCTAAAACTGGTAAAAGAAACGCAATTACACCAATTATACAAAAACTAGTAGAAAACAAAAGAAAACAACTGGAGAAGAAGTTGTCAGTCTCTCAGAGAGATGCTGTGTTATTAAGTGAAGTCAAAAAAGATGCTGCTCTCAGTTATGAACTAACAAATGCAATGAAAAGTTCCAATGGCATTCACAGATGCTATGAAAAGTAAAGGGCAAATTCCATGCAAGCCTTAGCTCGTTGTCTTTCACCAGGACAGTCTATGTTTTATCCAAATTCAGATTTAAAGCGGAGTATGTTTCAACAGAGGCCAGTAATGGAGTATCAAAACTATCCACAGCCACACAATTCTGCATCAATTTACAATGAAAGGAATGTTAAGGCTGTCGCTGCTATATGACAGGCAGAGAGGAAAGCACTCCACCAATTTGAATTCGAATGAAACTGAAGACTGATGAGTTTGAAAAAGTCACTCTTTGTATAAAAACCTGTCCTAAAGATTGTTTACTTCATGACAGTATATTCTGAGAAAACACACATTTGTTATGTTAAAAGGAAACCATAGTATAGGCAGACACAAAAGCCATCTGCTGCTTTCCAATTTTGCAATTGTTGTTAACAACAAGCTCTTTAGCTATAAAGCATTTAAAAGTTCCTATGTGTCTGTATCGTTTTTCTGTACTAAAACATAAATTTTTAATTTTATTTCAAATCAGATATATACTTCAGTCTGGCTGTCACCATTCTTACTACTCCAAAGGGAAACAGTTATAATTTCTTGGACTAATTCTCCTTCGTCAGTGTCACATAAACAAATTGAATCGTCCTTGTTAGCTTGGCAATCAACCGTTTTATAAATTTCAGTCATGTGTGCTTTGACCAAGTTTTTTCGATGCTCAGCTTTGATATTTTGAAATTTTGAAATTTTGAAGCATAAAACATGCATAGATAACTATTGGTATATGAAACAGTTTTATGTCAATTGGCTTTCTTAGGATAGCCCAACGAGATTTAAGCCGACCAAAGGCACATTAAATCTGATTTCTGGCAGCTCTTAATATGTTGTTAAATATTACCTGGTCATTTTTCTTGCAGGTTGAATACTCTTTTAAGCAGTATGGTGTTAGCGGACAAGCAGGATTCCCCAAAAAGTTAATTGAATAAAGTGGAGTTATTGTTGTAAGGAGAACAAAAGAAGCTGTAGTTAGATTATAACAAACAAAAGATTAACCTATAATTGGCTTTTCGCAAAAAGAAGCTCATGGATTCACCCAAAAACGCGAAATCCTGAGATATAAGTTTCCGCAAGCTTAATTTCCCTTATACTTTCATGTCATTATTTGCTCTTATTTCGTCTCATTTAGTGTGTATATATTAATCCATTTTATTGTTTTAATACATTTTCTATGGAGAAATAGTTAGTGAAAAAGAAATTTGGTCAGCACATCACTGGGTTGATTTAAGCTAAGGGAATGTCTCTTCTAATTTCTGCCACATTTCAGCAAACGTGAACTTTTCATTTCATATGAGTCATACCTAATATCTAAAAATTCTGAAGGGTATTACTCCAAAGAAGTTGAGATAAATAAAAAGCCTCCAGTTACCCTCTCAGCCAGTTTGTTAGGAAATATTCCCTGCCTAATAGTGCCTCGCGATGGTTTGTGAACTGGCTTACTTGCTGGCACTGCACAGGGACAAGGAAGTGTCCAGGGTAATCCTTGTAGTCCTTCTCTCAGAAACGGCAGGTGCAAAATTGTTCAGGAAAAATTCTCATCTGAATACGTAGGTGAACCTCGAAGACAACCAATCAAGTTGCAATTCTTAAAAAAATATCATGATGATCATTTTGACTAAGTTCTGCTGCTCTTTGTACTTTATTACTGTAAAGCAGGATCAAATTTCAAAAGCCCATTGTGAAACAGGATCAAACATAGGGTATCATACAAGTGACCAAAATACAATAGCAAATAGCAGAATCTCGAGATAAGCACGAGGTGTTTCCGCTGACAGAAACGGTGTCCATGCATGGACAATGCAAAAGGGTGGACTGGGGGTTTAATGGAACAATTTATGCCCCAAATTAAGTGAATAGACCAAATTCCCCACAATCAACAGGTACATTCAAGTGCCTCATATCAGTTCAAAATATCCACAAAAACTTTCGACAAAGAGATGAAAATATATTTTTTCCGTCTAAGTACAGCATTAAATTGGAAGCAAATCTTTAGACAGAAATGCCACAAGCATTGAAGACAATCAGAACAATAAAAATTGACACTGTTTGCCCCTGCAGAAAAATTCTCAAGCAAGTTCGAGGTTATCCTAGTAAAAAATCAACGCGAATCGGAATTTCCTAATCGATATAAGACCGGGGCGCACAATCTTGACATTTGTTTCTCATTAAAACAAATATTACGTAACGCTATTTCCGAGAATTATCTCGCTTGAAAATGGAATTGGTGGAATCTTGTAGTTGAGAGGTTGGTTAGAAAAGGCCTAAAAAATCTTGGGTGAAGAGAACAATATTTTGCTAATTGTTTGAGGGAAACACCAAGCTCCTCAAACATTTTCTCCAGAACAGGAAGCTGTTCGCTGCCTTAATATAGTGATATCCGTATCATTGTCACATGTTCATCAGCAAAAACAGAATACGCCCAAGATGTAATCTAAAGGTAAAGAGGAACAACATCAAGCAAGTAGAAAAGTTCATCTACCTAGGAAGTTTCATAACAGAAAAACGGTAAATATTATGCAGAGATAAAAAGAAGAATCGGTATTGCCAAACAAACGTTCACAAAATGCAAAGCATACTCAAAGATTGAAAAATGCTAATGACCACTAAAATCAGGATTCTGAAATGCTACATCTATCCTGTGCTTGCCTATGGCTGTGAATGCTGGACCATCTAAAAACAATGGTAGAACGAGTGCAGGCAGCGGAAATGTGGTTTCTGAGGAGGATGTTAAGGATTTCATGGAATGAACACACAAGCAATGAGGAAGTTTGAGAAGAGCGGGATCAAAAAGAGGACTTCTAACATCAATCAGGAAAAGGCAGATGGAGTTTTTTGGGCACGTAATGAGAAGGGAAGGCTTGGAACAACTAGCAGTTACTGGAAAGGTAGAAGGAAAGAAAGGAAGAGAATGACCAAGAATTGGATATGTGAAGGCTTTGAGCACGTGGGCAAATGTAGAAGCTAAAGAATTGATTAAGACAGCTAAGAGCAGGGTAGAGATGAAGGCCATGACAGTAAACACTGGCAAAAAGTTTGTCATGAAGAGCACCATTGCAATCATTTTTGTTATCAGAATACCTTTGTTGACAAGGAAAAACAGGGAGAAAAAGTTAATAAATCGGGAGACTGGGAGAAAGCAAGCAAAACTTTAGGTCTACCGGCGTAACCAGGAGAGTTGACTGATCTGCTACATCTATGGCACAAAAATCTCCTTTTGCAATAAAAAGAACAATAATGTTGCTTGTCTGATGTTTTCTGCTGTTGCTGAAATGTAAATGTGCATGTCCTGTTCGCTCATTTACAAGACAGCAACAGCAAAAGGACTGCGCAGAGGATAGCCTACTGCGAAATTAAAGAGGCTTCTAAAAACGTAGAGAGACTGCAAAAATTATCAATCCATCCATGAGTCTGTATTACAATGTATCAGTTGATAGGTGATACTTCCGTCTGGACTACGACCTTGTAAAGTATCTTGTTTCAACAACCCCCGGCAGATAAATGTATAAAAGGTCTTTCATTCTCCAAATTTTTCTCTTCCAAGAAAATTCAAGAGAAGGAAGAGAGAAGGGCTGACACATAAAGGTAAGCTTTCAATCATTTTCCTAAATCGATACATTTTTATCTTAAAGTTCCGTACGATATGTTCAGTTTGATTCAGACGATAATGAAAACGATGCAAAGAAAATTAGTTTGGTTCAGAGTCCCAGGCGAATTACGCTGCACAAAGCGAAAGGCTTTGAGCAAAGAAACTTTATGCATACAATCGGCATCAAGTTTCACTAACTTTAAATAAGTGCCCAGCAGTCCATTCTAATAATGGTGAACCAAAAGATTTCTCCAAAATACTGACGTAGACACAGGTAACAGGAAGAGGGGACAACTCTACTTCTTTAGCAGAATGGAAAATAAAGTTGTTACTTGTGACTCACGGAAGTTTTCTTTTTGCTGATACCTCCGCCTTTCTCGCTTTCAAAATACAGTCAGCCAGTGGCGAAGCCAAAGGTCCGGCTGGTCCTGCTAAGCAGGACCAAGAATTTCCAAAGATTAGATTTACTGTAAACAATAAAAAAATTTTCTTTGCAAAAATAAAGTTTCACATTCTATTTGATAAACAGTCCCCAGTTCCGTCAGCTGATAGAGGAATCCCGTGCTAATCTCAAGGTCCCGTGCTTTTGAAAATTTAGTCCTGATTCAAGATAGGCTAGAACAAAGAGCAGTCCTGCTCAATCTCAGGAGCCGGACCTCATCGAAATGATCATCATAACATTTCGTAAGCAGTTGTGATTTGATTGGTCGAGGGTTCACCTACGTAGTCAGAGAGCATTGTTTTGAAAACCTGTGGTCCTGCTATTTCGGAGAGCAGGACTGCAAGAATTGCCCTGTGCATTCTCGTTCTGCAAGGAGGCCAGTTCAAGTATTATGGTGAGGTGATGTGAATTTGGATTTCCTTTTTGCTTTGGCAATACCAATGATATTGACAGCAAAATTTTGGCCTTCGTATAAGGCACGGTGTATCATGGTGGCCTAATAAATTAGATTTTCTTAGACTTTGACAAGGACGATGAAAGCATAATTGAATTTACTGTTGTGTGATCGAAATTTTGGAGTTGGAGAATGAACCAATTTCAGCGGAATTTGCATTTGTAAGAGATTGACGGGCTACTGATTGCTATGTTGAATACCGATGAACTGAATGCTGAACTGCTAGTATGAAAGTGTATTTTTCTACCTGAATTGTTTACTCGTCTAATGGTTTGGCTAATGAAGTTGTTTTCATTGATAATGCGACACATTATTCAATAGTACCTCTCCTTATCAGCTGCAGAATAGTTGTTCTGCAGAATACGTGAACTTGCCCCTACAGACTTTGAACTTTGTTGTTAAATAAAATTATTTTGATAGAGTACCTAGATTGGTCAGGTATTTTAATAGAGTGTCTAGATTGATCTAGATTGGACCAAAATCTTGAATAGTCTAATTAGACTATTTCAACTACCACAAATATATGATATGCAACTTCAAATGTCCCCCCTACCCACTTTTACTTCAGCTGTAGAGGCTTACTACAATTTAACATAGATTTGTTTGAAAAGTAAGCACCCTAAAGGACGTCTTTAAGTATAGGTTTATTTTTTCAAAAGATAGACATCGATTTAAAATTTGCTTCTTACTGAATTCAAGTGAAAATTCATCTGCAGAAAAAGAACCTCGGTCCGGCGTCATTTAAGTACACTTTTCATTTCACAATCCTTTGTTCAGGTCAGTTCTTTTCTTCTCGTCTGCCAAAAATGGATTGTAGGCTTAGAATCTTCATGTTGAAGTTAGTCTTTTGACTAGACTGTCAGGCAGTGAATTATTGTGTTCAAAATCTAGCTTCTTCTTTGCTTTTGAACTGAATTTGTTGCTGAAACGAAATTTTGCTGGGCTTCAAAACCAACCATCCCCCTCAATATTCGCAAAAAAGTGTTTTCAGAAAAATGGAAATAAATAAAAGAAAAAGAGAATGCTGTAGTGAATCCTATTTTTCTCATTTTATATCTGGGATTATAAATTTTTGAATTCCAAGAATCTTTTGGTGTTACAAAACTTGAATATGGCGGGGGGTATGAAGCTTAGATGCCCGATGAAAGGGCGTGTCATGCTTGATGAAAGGGCGTGTCATGCCTAAACATAATTCTAAGGGCACATCGTTTTAGGGTTGAAAACATGGGGGACTCATAGAAAAGGTCACTAAGTATGTTAGGCCTTTAGACTCTAGCTGTTTTTTAAAATAAAAAAATATGCCGCTAGTTGTTCTGGTGTTGGCTATAAACATTTGTTCACAAAAAGCAAGTATTTGTAAAGCCTGTCTTTGTGGGAAAAAGTGGCCGCTAGCCCCTGACCCTTGCTTCCTTCTTGACCTTTCCATTTTTAGTTACAAGCTATCTTTTATTGAGTTGAATTTTTGTATGATTTGATTGACGGTGATTGCTGCATGGCTTTTGAATCGAACGTGATCCAAGAGTGGAATGGAAGTATAATGAAATTTGAACGCATTCAAGAAATCGAAGCAAGAAAGAACTCTCAGGTGAAACTATGGACTCTTATTTACCAAACGATGAAAACAACGATGAACCCTCATGAGCGAACAGAGCCTCTTTTAAGCAAAACCAACTACTGGGGAAAATCTTAGTTTGGGGCCCAAGCCAGTACACAGAAAAAATAGCGCCATTGTTATAATAACTTTGAATAAAATGTATATGACATAACAGAAATTTTAACATGCAAAACCATTTTAAGTGTTCAAATTGAGGTCCACACTTTTGAAAAAGTTACTAATAGCAATTATAAACAACCATTGTCTTTTTGAAAAAACTTTTTAATAAAACTTCTAGTCTGATATATTTCTTGGTCAGGCTGTCTGTCACGCCTCTCTTTTTGCTTCAAAAATTCAGCAACTGCATTTCTTGGATCATAAAAGGCTGTTCCTTTACCATTTAAGGAGATGTGCATAATGCTGTTTATTGACTGTTGGCTAAGTGAAGCTCTGTTTGAGGTCTTGATATTGTTTTAATGAGAGACTGTTCTTTCAGTCCCCATGCTATGTGGGGTTAAGGTTAAAAACGATGCTAGAAATGTTTTCAAAAGACCACAGCTTGCTTGCACCATTTTTCTTAATTTCAATGCGTAAAATGTGCCATTGTCTTCAATAGCAGGATCTTCAATGGCAACTATCTTCCTCCATGACATACATGTGTCAGAGACAAAATCTTCAATCTTTTCTGGGCCAAATAGTTGACTGGCTAAATCTCTGCTTGCTGTGATGAGCTCTGTAGATGATTTGACATCTAAAATTTTCATCAAATTTTTTAAAGTTCCATCATTTTCAAGGTTCATTCTCTCATCTAAAAAATTTATTGCTGATTGGACAATCTCTTTTCTCACTGCCATGTCATTCCTGTGTGTTGTTGTCACATATTTGTTCATTATGTTTCTTTTCTGTCTTGAATTAGTTGGAGAAGAAACTTCTTCAAAGTTTCCACGACATTTCTCCTCTCTCCCACCTGGTATTGATATTTCATTCATTACTTTGAGATTCTCAACTGCAGCATCTCTTGCAGTTATAATATCCAACAAAATTAGGTATGACTTTTGAAAAATTTTCTGGAGATTCTTAAATATTTTGCACAAATCAAACATCAAAGTTGTTAACCAAAACTGTTGACCATCATGTTTCCATTTATCTAAAAAGCCTTGAGCCATTCTTTTTTCAATTTTTTCAGCGTGAATTTCACCAGAACACATCTTTGTCCACACTTGCTTTGCTGCTTCAAGATTATTTAGCACTGCCTTCAGCACATTCAAAGTGTGCTCAGCAAATCGCACTTCAAAGTGCTTAGGAAATGTCAGACATTTGGGATCTTCTTTGTGAAGGTACTTTACTCTGCGAGGTGATTGTCTGAAAAATTTGGAAACAGCAAGTACATTGGTCATCCACAATGACAATTCAGGAACTTCAGACTGTACAGACTCCAAAGCCAAATCAGAGCGATGGCATATGCACCATGCAGTGAGCAATTCTTTTCCAGTGTAATCCTTTAGAAGTTTCCAGAGTCCACCATTCTTACCAGTGTTGGCATTTTCACCATCTGTAGTTATTCCAACAAGTTTCTCTGTATCAACTCCCACACTCTTTGAACAAGTGGTAAGTGCATCAAGCAAACCATCTGCACCCCCAAGGTCACTACTTGAAATACCCAGAAATACAGTTTTCACAGAAACTTCATTTTGTGGGAGAAATCTTGCAGTGATGAATTTGGAATCCACTTGTTGTTTGTCTGAACTGCCATCAATTTGTACTGAATAGCAGACACATTATTTTAACAAATCTGCTACTTTTTTTATTTCATGTTCACTGATAATTTCAGCATATGTCATAGGGTCTCTGTAATGGTAGGCAGAGCCTGGTTGATTGTAAGGAACAAAATCAGCATCCCATCCATTATCTCTAAATATGTGCAACAAATTGTTGCTATGATCACCAGACAAAGATCTTGATGACCAGCTCCATGCACTGACAGTTTCTACTCTGCAGTCATTGTATACATCAACTGCAAGTTTTAGAAGCAATTGTAAGGTCTCAGCTTTACATTTCTTCACTATTCGTACCCAGGGATGGGCATCTGACATATCCTTCCAAGCATCATCAAGCTTTTTGAGTCGTAATGCCTCTTCATGGGCAGCAGAACATAAATGGTCAACTATCAAACGAAGCCTTTCCTTACCATCAACACGAATTCCTTGAGCCACAGGTATTCGACCATTGACGGTGAACCTTTTAACATGCATTTCAAGCTGGTTACAAACAAGGCATTTCATGATAGGCCTTTGCCTTTTGTCTTTTCTTTCATATCTAACTTCAAGACAGCTCTCAGACATAATAAGCCAGTTTAAGTCTAATTTCTTTCCTTTGTACCAGTGAGTTCCAAATTCATCTTGTTGTTTTGCATTTTCAGTTGTAACATTTGTAGTGTCACTCTTTGCCACTTTGCTGGGGGGTGGCGAGGATTCATCATGTAGTAGGCCTTCCTCTAGTACTTCTGCTGTATTTTCAACCTCAACAGTGTCGCTATCCTTCTTTCCAAACATTGAGAAAATCGACTTCTGACCCACAGCTGAGGCACAATCCTTCAAAGCTCTTTTCTTGCTTTCGAGTCGCTTTTGGTGTCCACTCTTCTCTTTTTTCTTCATTTTGAAATTACGAGATTAGATATAGGTCATTTGAGATAGGTAGATCGAAAATAAAAATATTAAAAGCACGTGCTTGAGTGGCATGTGTACCAGGCTCGCAGATTGAATTGAATTGACCAATTCCTGGTAATCGAGATCAAAAGGCGAAACTGAGGCTCTTGAGGGCAGTCAAAGCTTCGAGAGAAGAGACGGGAGAAACTTGTCCCAGTCGCAGACCCTTGCACAAAGTTGAAAGAACAATGGAAATGAAAACAACAAAACAAATCATGGTACATAATGTGAAAAGGGCCCCTAACTACTGGGGCAAAATTAGATTTTTTTGCTTCACTACTGGGCCAGATGAAGGGCCTACTGGGGCAGAAACCCCACTAGTTGCAATGTTAAAAGAGGCCCTGTGAGCGAACAAAGAAGAAATTATGGATTTTATGCTTTAAATTGCTTTATCTTTTTGAGTTAATATATACAGTCCTTTTATATATAATCTTTCCTTTTGTTTTATTGAATCTTTGGAACATTTTGAACCCATTGGTAATTCTAATCCTTCAGCCAGAGGGGCGTATCTAGTGCCTCTGGCCCCGAAATTTAACCTAAGAAGTTCTAACTATAACTATAAAAAGTATGTATACCTCATCATACACTCATAAGGAGTTATGCTCTAATATTCTCTTAAAGTTTTACAATTATGGTCAGACAGTATTGCACACTTCACCAAAAATGGTCTTACAGCCGCATTATTCTTTTTAGCTAAATAAAATTAAAATAGCTGTAACAGAAAGTTTTAAGCTGACAGTTCGCGAGTAAAATGATAGAAAATATATCAAGGACTTGTAACTAAGATATCAATTGAACAAAAAACTTTCCAGTTTCTCCTACTCCTGAAACCCGTGATTGCGAAAACACGAAAATAGTGCTTTGATGAAAGGCGTTCCTTTAAAATATTTGCGATAAAAGAGCTTTTCTTTGCACAATTTTGATGGATTTTGTTATGGTGAATTCAAACCCAAAGATACTTACTTTGTGCTTGGGTGTTTTGGGTTTCTAAAATTGTTCAAATTCCTTACCGAGCAACCAAAAGTTGAGAATCATACTCAGAAAATAAAACTGACGCTCTATTTTCCATAGAATAGAACTGTTTTGTTGTTCTACTGTGATAAAATTGAGACACTACTTCAATTTCTTTTTTAAATTGCTCTCTTTATAGCTAGGAGATTTGGAAAGTGAAGACTATTTTTCTTTTATAAAAAAGACAGGCGTTACAAATGATTGCTTTTAAGAAAAAAATATTTATAGCCAACACCAGAAAAATTAGAGGCATATTTTTTTGGCTTTCAAAAACAGTCTGAAGGCCTAACATACTTAGTGACCCTCTCTCGGGGTCCCTAATGATTTCAACCCTTGAGGCGATGTGCCCTAGAAATGATGTTCAGGCATGACATCTAAGTGAAATTTTGAACAATAGCAGGAAAAAAACATTTTCAAAGTTGTTCAATTCATTTGTGTTAGAAATTGTTTTTTAATTGAGAAAAGAGCACTTGGCTGGAAAGCTCTTCTGAGTTTTTTCAGGTGCTCTATGTAGTACAACTGATTTATTGGAAAGAGATTTTCGAGGGAAGAAAGCCTTTTAGCGTTTCTGGTATAATTTCGCGAATGACTGATACGCGAAACTTCCTTACATAATAAATTTGGGAAAGTTTTTTGTGAAATATCCAGAAAATTTTAGCTGTTGATTGCGTTGGACAAATAAAATATATTTTCTTTTGTTGTTTTGTTGGTATCATATGGAATTAAAATGAAAGGAAACCTCAAATTTGTTTTCGCAATTTTCTATTTTGCTTCTTTCGCCAAAGTTGGTTCCAAAAACTTGGCGCTTCTCTCAATTCAAGAAGCATATGACCAAAGAATAGAAACAACTCTATTTCTATTCTGTGATCAGGTCCCTGGTGAACGTCTGATTATGTATCGAAGGTCATTTTGTCATTGCAACTAAATTATAACACTAACAACTCCAGACGACTACCTAAAACCAACAGCTCCTTGATCTCTACCTGCAGGTTTCAAATTATTTCTCTAGGATACATGACGGACTCGTCGTTGTGTAAAATTTGAAATAGAATTTCTATATAGTGGATGTTGGATGTTGTCGGGCCCTTAGGCTTGCGCGGAGACTTCATTTTCCTGCGTAGCTGAGAAGCCAGCACGCATGTTAGGGGCCTTGGCTGTGACTTTAGTGTCTCAGTTTATGTCCTCCAACTTTTGCAGAAAAGGCCCGTAATTTTATTTTACTTTTCGTGTCTGAGAGCCTGATGGAAATTGCCACTTTACCACCCGGGCCAGACTACACCTGAACTTTAGCAAGAGAGAGATGAATCAATCATTCTCGTCAGTTTTCATAAATCTCACTCGGCTAATTATGCGTTCATTTCTACTAACAGTGATTGGTGCAACAGTATCAACAACCGAGAACATCTATTCAAATGTAAGAAAATTCTCTTCCTTTCTTCTGTAAATTTGCAAATTTTTAAGAGATTGCTGACACAATTTTGAAAGATTTATCGAGAAGGCAAGGGTCTAAGAGGTATCAATCCAGTGGCGTGGTGACAGGGGGGCCAGGGGGCCAGGGGGCCAGGGGGCCAGGAGGGCCAGGGGGGCCATTGCCCCCTGAATAGGGGCGCAAATGGAGATAAAGCGGCGCCAAAATTGTTTGCTTGTAATATTCGGCTAGGAACATAAAAAATGATCGTACACGTAGTATTTTGTTAAATTTTATTCTGGGAGATGCATTTTTAGCCATTCTAGAAGGCTTGATTTCAAAAATTTTCTTCCGCGTCGCACCCAACCATGGTAGGTCCTCCTTTGTCACTAAACTTGATCCTTAGCCCAACCCCAGATTCAATTTTGTGCGTGCCGCCTCAATAGTGCGATTCAATAGTGCGATTCAATTTTTGAAACTTTGAAGTCATTCATTGAAAGAACTACTATCTAATAACCACTAAAGAATAACAAAACTTGAACCACGTTTGTATATCATACATCATATATGCGATGACACTAGGCTGATAAAATCGCCCATAAGCAGTGGCGAAATGTTACCTTTCGTTGAAAAACAACGGAGTCCGAAACAAAAATTTACTCCACGTTATTTTACCCTGAAGCTGGTATTCTGGATATAATAAACCAGTAGCCTGTATGAAACATCAGTGTAATTGAACAAAATGTCTTTTGATTAGTATTTTATGTTTTCCTTACGTATTTCCTCGAAAATAGGCCGACTCTCGAAAATAAGCCAATTCAAAATAGCTTGATATTTTACCGAGTGTTAGGATTACATAACTTTTCCATTCATATTCGCATTTTTAGTCAAAACTTATTTATGAAATTTTGGATTCAAGTAGCAAAAATCGATTTCCCTTCTAGAAGCACATGCTTTTATATAATCACGATATATCGATAGGGCGCAAAAATCGACTTGGCCACCCCAGGGAAAACATAGCCACCCCGCCACTGATCACTCCCCCCTGGAAGCGTCAGCTCTGGAAGAATGACAGTCAGAGGAACATTAACTAACTCGTGTAAACTGCCTCTATAATTCAACAAACTGCAATAGGTCCCTATTGTTAACAAAGTATTCATAAAAGTCTTTGCTACCTCATTGTACTCTGTAGTAAGCATTTCATTTTCCATCAGTGTGATTTTAGATAAAATTTTAATTTTTCAGAATAAGAGGGGCTGATCACTTGATCCTTAGCCCCTTGATCCTGATATTGTTGGGGATACTATCTGAAACGGCTATTGTCTTTCTACTGTCTGTGGTTACGGCAATTACCACCCGAGCCCGAAGAAATTGTGATGGGCATTTTTATTTAGCTATAGACCTGGGTGCTCCAAATCGCGATGGTAAACGGGAATCTACTGGTGCGTCTTGGAGCTGGGAGGCCTTCTTCTTAGCCTCTTTGACCTAATGTCTCTGCGGAAGACTTTTTTGATAATTTGTTGTTTAAACAACCAAAATGCAATTTAACTATATGTTTTATTGACAACACATTGATAATCATCAATAATAAGTTTAGGCATCACAGAAGGGAGGGGGATCGGTTGATGTGCAGGCCACCTGACTTATAATACCCTTTGCCATAGATGGTAATGGTATGTCATTGAGGCTTGATAATTGCACTATAAGGCTTAAAAAGGTTATAGGTGCGATTTGGAAAACTGCTATTTTCAATTTAGAAAAACTCTGTCCATAAGGTATGACTTCTTTTCTTGACAGGCTGTCGCCCTTTACCATAAAAGAAAAATATGTACAGAACCACTATACGGAACATGCAGTGAAAACTTCTATTTTTGTTCATTTTCCCAATTTCGACCAATCGATCTACAGCATGTATAAGAAATCGAACAAAATAAATTAAATTATAGATCCCTTGCTGGGTAGGTCAACAATCTTCCGTTTCATCCGAAAATTATTTATTGAGCCATTTGATTTTTCAATTAGAATTCAAACTGTGCAATTAAATGTCCTGTGTCTTTAGCTGTGCACTATCAGAACATCTTTAGATTCTTGCAATAATATTAATTTGCATGGCGTAGGATCAAACATTGTCTTTTACAGTAAAAGCATGAAAGCAAGCCTATTAGGCTCTGTTTCACCTCGGGCTCTAGGTCAATTTTATTCAGGAGCAAACCCTTGGTTTTTTACCGTTTCTAAAAGATGCCAATCATAATGACATTGATAGCTGTGTTTGCGGAGGATGATCAAGCAGTGGTTGCTTTGTCAGGTGATCTATCCTAAGCATAAAACCACTTTATCGTCCGCTTCTTCTTGGCTACCCATCAGTTCATTACTCACCAGGTTACTCATGTGGTTAAATTTTACACCTCCTTAGAGAAGTAAATTTCATTGCAACCTACCAATTCCAAGCATTGCCCTCTGCTACCCAAAATTACTTCTCTTAACAGCATAATCATACCGGTATGGTTCTTCCCACTATATCTACCTTACTTTACCCGGTAGGTATACTTTTTAAAATGTCAATGTAAGCTGTTCATGTGTTTGAGGAATCTCTGTCAGCTTCCATTTGCTTGCCATCAGTTCCATTTTAAACGCTGAGACATCTTTCTTGGAGGCTGACTTTCTCTTTGATGGATCAATACCAAACTAGCTTTCTTGAAAAAGATTTGCTTTGCTTGCTTTTATAAGCTGTTTTTCGTTGAGAACCATTTGCATTTGCAATACTATCTGGCATGATGCAAAGGGGATAATCCTTTCTCTTTTTGCTGATATCGCGAGCAGTTTTTAGCATGCCATTGCACAGAAACGTTATCAGAGGCAGGTCAGAACCTAAGTTGTATAATGAACCTCTGTCCAAACAGATCCAAAAGGATTTGTGTGTTATTGGTTTAGTTTTTTAGCAGGCGTCTTTGCGAAGGACTCAGTTTTTGAGATTCGCAAAGACCGAAATGATTTATAAAAGTCTCCGGGGGACTTTAAATCTGCCATGTTTAGCAGTTTTTTCATTGATGATAAAAGGTGATATAATAAGCCCAAAGATGAATTTCCCCGAAAAATAACAGCTTAATGGCAATAAAATCACATATCCAAAAAATTGTGCTGATTCCTTAAAGTGCCTGTGACATGATTTTCGTACTTTTGGGTTTATCTGTTCTAATGTAAAAAGGCCTGTTATTTTTATTTCTGAGGTTAGTTTTTACGTTTAGAGAGAAATGAAGGAGTTATTGGCGATCTTCTACGCCAAAATTCGCCATCTTGATTTTCAGAATGAGTAGACAGTGACGTCACGGGAGGGACCCGATCGCCCCCTCCTTCGAGTTTTTATATCGTAGTCAATGAGGGAAATCTAACAGGTCCAAGATGAGCGATATTTCCAGAGAAAGTAATGGCAGCGAGGATGAGATTTTTGAAGGTTGCGCCTACATTGTTACAATAACGAGTTCCTCCCATGACGTCACAAGAGAACGGTGAATGATGATAAAGCGACTTGGATAGGCCGCACTATTTTGCTTAATTTCAATATCAAAACGCTTTTATTTAAAGAAAAAAGTTCAGATCTACTACGAGAGCAGTGCAACGCTTCAATTAAGAGAATAAAAAGAATCATGTCACAGGCACTTTAATATAGAATTGCTATCGTAAGGGTATTGTTATAAGTCAGTTGACCTGCAAAATCACCCCCCCCCTCCCCCAGTGGTGCCTAAACTTGTAATTGATGATTATCAATGTGTTGTCAATAAAATATATAGTCAGATTGCGTTTTGGTGGTTTAAAACAACAAACTATCAAAAAACTCCTCCGCAGAGGCATTAGGTCAAAGAGGCTAAGAAGAAAGGCCCCCCAGGTCCAAGACGCACCAGTAGATTCCCGTTAACCATCGCGATTCTGAACACCCAGGTCTATAGCTAACTGAAAATGCCAATCACAATTTCTCCGGGCCCGGGTGGTACTTGCCGTAACCACAGCCTGGTCTATTCCGTTTGTTTATCGCCCAAAGTTTAAATCCAATCAGAGGAAAGTGTATTAATAGAGCATGCGCATTTCCTACCATTTTGCCGCGAAATACTAGTCCCATTCCACATCTTGCTCCCGCAGGTTGGGCCGCAGCTTCACTCGCTTGGATGAGACTAGTAACCAAGTTGGTTTTTCCTCCAAACAAACTGTAAGAACTTGTCATTGGCATATGCCGCATAAAACCTTTGCTGCTTGACATGAATAGTTTGTTTAGAAAAAGACATAAGCAACATCAGTGTCAGAAGTTTTGCGCAACAACTCCAAATAGTGTTGAGTAAAGATTTAGGCAACAACTCCAAATAGCCCTGCCCAATTTAAAAAAAATTATGAGATTATTAGCTGTTTGTGGGACTTGAGGCTCTTTAAAGCACACAATTTATGAGATTTTAATCTGGATACCGTTTTTAAAAAGATCCTTGCTGCTCTGCAATTTGCAGCAAGGCACTTCTGTTAAAAAAAACAAAATTAAATAAGAAAAAAGGGGGCATAATCATCAGAATTTGCGTGATTTCAACGAAAACACTGGCAAGACAGTGATGCTAATAAGGTGGGGAGTGCGGGTGAAGGTCAAAATTGTTTTCTTTAATGCTTCGGCTCTTATAATTTCCTGCCTCTTTATGAGACAAATTTGTTTCTTGCAAACAAAAGGGACGCTAACTCATACTCTTTTTTCAATCTAATTACTGTAGACTTCCATTTCTTACTTTTATTGCTTTTCCTATGTCAATTCTTCCAAATTTCTGACTGATTTACTTATATAAACATAAGATTATGCACCATAAGATTATAAATTTTATGCCCCGATATATTATGAACAAAAATATTTACAAAGAATATAACTTTCTTAGGCCCTAAATCCGATTGCAAAATGACGTTCAAAATAGGCATCTTTCTATGCCTCGTTGCTGTGGTGATTGCCTCGAATGCAGCAGAGGATCTCACCAGCAGTGAAAAGACAGCAATAACCGCTGGATTCACGACTGGTGAAAAAATAGCAGAGACAATAGCGAAGTTTGGAGATCCTAAAACATCGAAGGTTTTTGGGGTGATTGATAAAATGACAAGTTTTCTTGGTGCAGCTGGAGGATTTGTATCGCTTATTCTTGCGTTCCGCAACAGGATTCTGCAGAGTTGGCGTACATGAAGAAACAGTTTACTCTTGTCAATACCAAACTCGACCAAATCACATCTGAGCTAGATAACATCAAAGGATTAATTACATATGAAAACCAAAGAGCTGCTTACCACTCATCTGCCCATGCCATACTATTTGGACATAAGCAAATGATGCGACTCTTCAATGAACTGCAGAAGACAAGATGCACCACAAAGGCCAACTGCAAAAGAATTCGCACACGAATCGCCCAACGTTATATTGCGTCACTTAACGTCAAAGTTCATCTCGACAAAATTTTGCATGGTTCAAGCAAGCCCACTTCATTGTTTGGAGATCCACTTCTTCTTCTTGTGAAGAAAACGTTCAAATGTGACATTTCAAAAATCAACCAATTTGCTAACGGTGTGTTTAAGCTAGCTTTCAAAGGCCAACAAGTTCTCCTTTTGTATGAAAAATTGACTGGTAGCAAACACAGTATTACCCAAAGTATGAGCGATTGGCTTAAAAGTATTTATGACTTGCGGGGCATGTCTTGGAAGTTGAAACAGCAGTGCTTTAATAACATTAAGACACAGATGATCAAGGACATACGGAACAGTAAGTACCAAATTGGATCGAGCACGAATGCTATAGCAAACGCGAAAGTGAAAAGATTTTTGGAGTTGAAATACCCTTGGCTTGATGTCGTTGCATTTTCATATGACGCTTATGGTAAAGAGAACCACTGCACTACAAATGTATACGGTGCTTTTTGGTACATGCCAAGTGACAAGAATGCTAGAAAACGAAATCTAATCGTAAGCTTTGCTGACAAAAGAGGCACATATGATAGGCAGAAATATGACATTCTAAACGGATTACATGACATCGTGACAAATCGAGCTTTGTTTAGAACCAGTAGAGACTACTGTAAGACTCTTGCTACGATTAGACAGCATTTGAAAATGAAGAACCTATGGAAGTATGTTGTCAGTTTGACAGTTCGGAAGAAAAATGGTGAATTGGCGGTTACGAAAACGAGTGACTTGATAATTGTCAACAGGAAGTACACTATTCGTTACACAGTAAATAGACGCCAAACAAGAAGTTTTTTGGCCTACATCGTTGTGGTTTTAAAGTCAACGGAACAAGCAAAGAGAAGAGGGTGCATGTTAGCATGTAAGAATCAAGGACAATGTAAGCAGTATCCATACTCAAGTGCACAGTATTGTGAATGCAAACCGTTTTACGAAGGGAACCTTTGTGAAAAGCACTCGAAAGCAGCTCTTGCCAAAACAATCGACATGATGGTTACCACGACACTTCAAATACCAGTTCTTAGCGATGTCTATTTTGATATTAAAGATCTCAGAAGGTTTGTTGGCATCAATTTTGTTAATATTCAGAAAGGTATCAGCAATTTGGAAGCAAGCATTCAACGAAAATTCAACAGTCTATCCTTTGGCATTGCGAATCAATTCAAGTGGGCAAATTTCATAACTCAGTACAAAGATTCAATTCACACAATCGAATATTTTTCACATCGTTTCGAACAACTTCCAGTAGAACACAAGGACGAGAAAAATCTTCAGGTCGCAGGCAAGACTCTAGCAAACAAGGTACTCCACGTTTCTCGTGGTATACGTAAACCGTTATTCCTTCTCAATCAGATGTTAGTCGGTAAATTGAACAAGCCTCTTTTACGGCATAAACCGTTGCTATTGACTTTCATGGAATCCAAAAACAAAGCAGGAGAGCCTTGTACATCGGCCTACAAGCGGAGAGTTGATAACTATTGGCGACAGCTGATTCTTCTACAGCAGATTGGCTATATGGTATGGGCACAAGCACTTGAGTTTGTTGGGAGGAAAACAAACATAGTTGACCAATTCTACAAGCAACGAATAGCTGCTCAGCTTGCAAGCATTAAGGGAAAAACATGCCAATACAGCATTGTGAACTCTGCAAACATCCACTGCAAAGGACATTATCTACACTCTGGGATGCAAATTACAAACAGATGTAACAGAAACTATTATGTTGTTGGCTCCAAGCGGACTTCTTGCAGAAGGAAAGTTTCAGGCTGCAATCGATGTCGTTGCTATAGACGTGGATCAACAACCACGCAATGCATTAACTTCAATGGGAGGTGTCATTGTAAAAGAGGCTTTTATGGCAATCACTGTGGCAACAGAGACTGTGTTTGGGGACACTGGTCGCGGTATGGACATTGCTTGAGGTGTGGCTATGGCGCTAGGAAACAGCGTCATCGTGGAATTCGTATACACAAATTGGGATCAGGGAGAAGATGTTACGGATCAAGATATTCATATGCACCATGTTTTAGGGGATGTTGCAGAAACCAATATCACTGCTCTCGTAGAAGGAAGTGTATTCCTTCTTACCAAAGATGCAATTATGATAACAATTGTGGAGACAAGCAAGATGAGCAGCATTGCAATGAGCGCTGTTTTTGGCGATATACCGGACTCAATAGCTACGGAGGAGGAAGGGTAGTGTACCTTGATAGACAACGACCGTACTGTCCGTCCGGATCAGTAATGAAGTCATTTGGGCTCCAAAGGATTGGAAATCGGATCAGATACCGGTTCATTTGCTGCAGGCTCAATAAGTACATTTGCTACAACCGTGCAAAATATAATAGATACTCGTATGCCGTTCAAATTCTCGTGGACAGAGCCTTGCTGCACAGTCGGTTCATTGTCCGGGTTCAGCCTACCTCTCCGGTTTTAGTCTGTCCAGGAATCGATCTGGTAACAGAATCAGGTACATCTACAATTGCTGCTATTTGCGTTTCCAGAGACACAAAACTCGCTCTTACTGCTATTCTAGGTACACGCGCTGGACAAGTGATGGTAAAGGCAATATCGTCTATCTGGATCGACAGTATGTCACTTGCGGCCACCGCTATTTCCTGTCGTATTTCAGGCTGCAGCATAGAAGAGGGAAATGGTGGGGTGCAGGAAGTTTTCGCTACCATTACAGATGCTGCAAGATCAACCCTTGAAAATGCATTTTTCCTGTGGCATTTGATCAGGTATTCGAAGTTTAAACTGATACTGTGACGGTGTGTTTGGTGATTCGAATCTTTGACTATGAAGCCATTTAAAAACTATCAAAACAATTTTCTTTTCCTTAAATGTACGAATTTTTTCTTTGGGATAATGATTGAAGATAAATGCATATTGAATCACTGTGGTTGTTTCCTTGCAATCTCTTCAATGTTGAATTAATAAATGCGTTTCTGTTGAAATTCTACTTCTCCCATGATTCTAAATGGAATATTTGTAACCACGTTTCTGGTACGAATTGCAATTCTGAACGTCGTCAATATTGATACAAAATTAGTTTTAATAATCCCATTATTTGTTGTTTAATACCGAAATTATTCACTACTTATTTCTAAGCACATTTATTTTAATTCAACAATCTACAAATAACTGATGAGCCCATAAATTATCAAACACGGCTCAGCCGCGGATTGTTTGCGATTATCGTTTCTCATTTCAATTTTTTTATCCTTCATTACATTCTCTATTTCTATGAAACTAGCTAAATATTTGAGAATGCATTAAACTTTTACATTCACAGAAGGCACGTAGGCACCAAATCAAACGTCATAAGGTTAGGACAAAGTGCAGGCTGTCCTTCCTGTCCTTCCTGTCCTTCCTGTCCTTCCTGTCCTTCCTGTCCTTCCTGTCCTTCCTGTCCTTCCTGTCCTTCCTGTCCTTCCTGTCCTTCCTGTCCTTCCTGTCCTTGCATTTTGAATCCTTCGATCACAAATCAACTCGTCTTATGTAAATACTATATTACGCAGCATCAAGACATCTTTTAATCAGCCTCTTACAGAACTTACATTTCAATGAATTTCAAGTAATCTAAGTGTACTATCAAGTTATTGATTTTTGTGCAAAATAGTTTTTTCGCATCAATAAAACGATTCGCTGCACAAAAACGTGAGCGTATGAATGTCGCTTTTGTTTGGTTAGTCCCGGATAGTGTTTTTTATGCTAGGCAATCTTTTTACACGCTTACTCGAAGTTTCTTTTCCTACTTGTTTTAAGGAACCGGTCGAGAAGACTTAATACACACAGCAAAAAACAGGTCATATGCTAAGAAAGCTGAAATCTTATAACTATTTAAAAGGCGTTCTTTGATATCGAGTTTATATCAAATCAAGTATCAAATTACTGTGAAGGTCTCTAATCAATAAAATAGGACAAATTTCACCAGTTAACAAGCGTAATTCCTCGGTTGATGTAAACAATCGTAGATCTTTTCCACGCTTATTTGATAGGCGCACTAGAAAGGTGTCAGCAAGGTTCAGACATACCGAAGTCGAAATTGGCAGATATTGTAAGGTAGCTTTACAACGCAAAACCTATTGTCCATTTTGAATTAGGCTGAAAATTTGTCCATATTGAATGTAGGTCACTTTTCCAAGTAGGCCAAAATAGGCCATGTTTACTTTAATTAAATTAATATTTACAAACTGGCTAACAATGTCCATACAACATTAGCAAGCAGGAATAAAAAGGCAATCGAAACGAAGAAAAAATAAAACATGATTAACATGCCTAAAACAAATTTAGCTCACAGTATCCTAATTAGCAAAGAGCTTTGCGATTCTAATCGCTGAAAGTGAGAATTATTTTCTTGGAAAAACGCCTTTTCCAAAATTTTAATGCGGCATAAAGCCATGTTGTCAAGTGAAAAGAGATGATTGAAAAATTGATAAAAAGAAACTTAATCCTTTTTTCCAAACCATTTCGAGTAATGCTGCATCCATTTTGACAGTGTTGGGGAATGGGGATATATGTATTTTTTTCAAAGGAAATCTTAGCCTCTGAATTTCTTTACACATATCTTATGAAAAAGGAACTTTAATTAGTTGTGTCCGATGTTTATGAGGACCATTGCTATCTCATATGAATGTGGAGTTGTGTGGTTATGCGACGGCGCAACAAGCCTGTAATTCTGTCAATAGGAATTTATAAAGAAGGTTTTCTACAATTAAGAAAGTAATTCCTAAATTAAAAAGTTATTGCAAAAATTAGACAAAGTTGGGAGTACAAAGATAGGAATTGAAGCCTTTATACACTTATTTTTTTATAAAAAACTTGACAAAAGAAACCAGTACTGGGCACTCAGAAACTCCAGTAATACAAGGGAAAAAATAAAAATCAATTTGATGTTGAAAAAGATAAAAACTCATAAACTGATTGATTCTGATCACAAATTGATAATGATGTTGTCCTATCTGAGTACAGCAATAAAAGAGGAGGCAAACCTTTAACAGAAATGCCAGGAATATTTATAAACAGAAACGCCGAAAACAGAAACAACAAGCTTCTTGTGGAAAGTTTTTCAGGAGAATTTTTGTGAAAAAAATACCAAACATTTGAATGCGTTTGAAATTTAATGAGCAAAATTCTTGATTACTAACGCTATAGAGAACAAAGTTGGAAAAATGGCACAAATAATAAAAATGAAAACTATGCCAGCAGGTGAAAATTTGTCAAACGAAAGTCGAGTTGCCACAAAGAATTACAGGAATGTTGTCTTTAATTTTTGAAAAGATTCTCAATCTTTTCAGTGGCAAAGTATTACGGCGTTTGCGCTTAGATCCCTCAAAAGACAAAAACCCCAAATGATGATTGTGCAGCTCAAATCCTTCCAGACAAATAATAATCAGCATTAAACAGAAAAACGAAACGAAAAGCTACCTGAGTGAGAAGAAACCATTTTTGAGGAAAATTAGAGTTCTTCCATGGCTAGGATCAAGTCGAAATTTGCAAGAGTGAAAGGTCCTAGGCAAAGCAGAAAAGTTGATTCATGCTGTCAGAAATTTTTTCTTGCAAACAATATTTTTCTTGCTTTTCAAAGTAAAGGAAAATTTTTTAGGATACGTAATCAAATTGTCGGGATTTTGTTTTGGCACTTGTTCCGATATCAGAACATGAAATAATAATTGCTTGTTAAACACCTCCGCAGGGGCGCAAACAGATGGCTGTGGCTCAAAAAGCGTTAAATGCTCATTCTGAGGCTATTCTATGAAAATAGAAGAGAAATTCAAATCATTTATGCTGCAAATGATGTAAACGATTCAATTTTGTTTATCAAAAATATAAAACTCTGGTGCAAATGGCATTATAAGAATATTGTTTTAAGCTCCTCTGCAGTTCAACATTTTTTTTGGCACAAAAAATACTTAATTCAGACTCTCAAGATTATTACGTCTACCCCCTGGATGAGAGGAAAGTAAACTGAGCGTCTAGAACAAAAAACAATCCTGGAATTTGATACGATTGGCTTCTACGGTTACAAAACAATGAAAAGATATGATGGTGACAAATGCAACCTTTGCGAAGAACCTTGCAGTGAAGGAAAGGAAAGCTTTGACCTGACAGGTTGGGGAACTTTAAAGCTGGAAGCGAATTAAAAGGTTAGCAGATAGATCATGAAAACTTTGCATACCTTTTTCCTTTTCAAGACGCGAAAAATGTTCAAGAAAAATATAACAAGTGATCCAAAATAATGCACTCATATCACATCACAACTTTTACGTCTTTTTTGGAAGGTAAAAAAGGCATCTTGCAAAACAGGCTTGGTATGAAAACTTGATTGAATTGTATGGCTAAACAAGAGTTTAGATTTCTGCAAATGAATTGAGCTTGTTATTCTTGAGAAAAACAGTACAACATATAATGAATCGATTAACTTAGTAAGAAGGTCCTGCAAGGTAACGAATTAGAAAGGCACTTGACCATTTTTGTGTTTCAGCGCTGGATCTGCATGTCAATGCTATACAATGCAAAATGCTGAATTATCTATTGCATGTAAATCCCTGGACACCTGCTTCATGATAAGAATGTTGCTATGCAGTGATACCACAAAAAACTATCTGGTAAATAAAATACCTTGACTGCAAACCACGGAAATTGGCTTTAATTTCTCCACTGTTGCTTTGATCACTTGATATTTGAACTTTACTGGGAGCAAAACAATTAATTTATAATTCAACTCAATGGAAAGGTAGAAACTAATGAACCGAGTTGAAAACAATAGAATCTGCACGCAGGCTATATGTAGGACGCACAACAAAGGGCCAACCGGGACCGGAACGCCGGGAAAATTCCCGGTGCACCCTTTGCCTCAAGTTATTTTTTCTGAAAAAGTGGAGGCAAATAATCTTCGCATAGAACTATAATTGATTACAGTAATCAAATGGCCTCCTATCCAAAGTACGTTTGCATAACAAGTTTAGTTTCACTATTAAGTTGAGGAATAATAAAATTAATTGCATAGTTTCCCAATTCCCGTTATTATAAAATTCATTGAAGCCTAAAGTTTGTTCAGGAAATTTTGCAATATTTTCTGAAATCCTTTAAAGAGGTGTATTTTTTTAAAATAGCTTTTAAAAAGGAAACATTTGACAACTTACTACAAGCTTTTTCGGCTGACAATTCTCAGAGCATTAAATTACGGAAAAAGATCCGAAAGAACAGGGTGGAGAATATATATATTAATTTTTGCATCAATTTTCTACCTTGTTTTTTCCGACCCTTATTGTGATGTTTTATATTCGTTTCAAATACAGGCAAATTGACTGAAAATCTGCTTCATGCCAATGCCAATTGTCAATAAAAAACTTTGATACTCAACGTGGAGCATGTTCCAACATTCTAAAAAGCCCGTTTTGCAAGCCTCGAAGTTAAGCAACTCTAGCACCTATTGGTGCCCTTTTGATTGCTTTCCCGCTGGGTCAAATGGTAGCCAGTCCGCCACTGCGCACAACCCAAAGATTGGGGAATAGGATAAAACAACATGTTGCTTCCAACAAAAGACACAAAACTTCCCCTCAAAGAGAACAGCTTCCTCGATCTTGTAGGTCTAGAAACACTGTAATATTAATATAATCATCAACATTAAAATATCATCATAGTCAAAAGAAAGTGACTGAAGCGAAGAAAGCATATTCTTGAAACGTTGTATATGAATTAAAAGAGCCATGCTACAATGTGAATCGAACAGGGCTTTCCAAGTGAAACTGGGATTTTGTTGCAAACTGACGATGACACTGGTTTAAAGAAGAGAAAAAGAATGACGATTAAAGTATTATTGAAGACTAGAATGCAATTTTTGGATTGAGAAGAAAAGATAATTTACTTCCAAAACTCTTTGCAGGGGCTCAAAACTCTTAATGGGGTGCAAGAGATTGTTTGATTTCATAGAAAATGGAATAATATATTTCTTACGTTTAACTACGAAAAGCTTCCACATAAGGTCAAGGGTACTTCAGAACTTCATCTTGTCTCAGGGGTTATTCTAATGTTGTTTTGTTGCCGTTTAGTGAAATTATAAATCTGAATTGTGGTGTTGTGGTTTTGTGGTGCTGTAAAAAAATCAGCCATCTCGAATAATTCACGGAGCGTGCAGAATTCGTTGGAAGAAATAAAATAAGTCAAATTCATGCAGCAAACCAAAGAAAAGCTAAACCTTGAAGAAGAATTATAGTAAAAGTCAGTCAGCGCTTAATCTAAAAACAACTTAGCTTTTGATATTTGCTGTTTATTTCTCCATTTGCATCCTTATCAGATAAAGCCACACAAATCTCTATACCCAGAAAATTGTTTTCTGTCGGCATTTCCAACAATGAAGTCAAACGAAAGACTTATTTTTTGAGATCAGTGGTTATTGTAGTACCGTTGTTTCGGCTAGTTTTTCCAGTAAATTATAACACTTTACAAAAAAATACCAGCATAAGAAATTATGTAGTTGAACGTGAACTAACCATTGAAGTTGTTGAAATAGTTATAGCATCATTATTGTGGTTGATTGCAAAGAGCCAAGACTTGTTAATATGGTCAAGGGTAAATTGTGATCACGTGTCCTTCCTTTGCGCGAGGGGATCGTTTTCAACTGAATGTACTCAAAAATTGTCTTACCAACGGTTGTAAAGCAATTAATGCAAATATCCCAATTTTTTCCTCCGCAGAGGCAAAACGTTGTAGTGCTAACTGTTTCACCCCAGTTTTCACCCCTTAGACTCCAATAGATTACCGTTCACCATCACTTTTCTAAACCCCTACATATGTGGGGAGGTGAAAACAACCACAGCAATTTGTTTGCTTTCAGGTGGCGCTTACCACAAAAATAACCTAATCTAATAATGGTGACAAAAAACTGTTCATAATCATGGGTCGTGTGCTTCACTTCTCTTTTCTGCAACTACTGAGTTATGGACCACAAACGATTACACATTGCCCCTTCTCTAGCTGCTCTTTTCATAGACCTAGTCTTAAATTCATTGTACCCCAGATTCGGAATGGTTTACTTAGTCAACTAAAATCAGCAGAAAAGTTTCAAGATTTTGATTAATTTCGAAAAGGGTATTCTATTGAATTCCACAAGATAGAAGGTATGCTATTGAATTCCACCCTTAAAAAATTGCTGACGAAAATCGGCGACTAAAGTCTTTTTCCATATGGTTGATATAGTTGATCACAACTGATCGCATATTATTAATGTAGCGATAAGGCATAACATATGTGAGCACGCTATCATGCCGACGAGAAGCAGGCTCGTGTTTCGAGGTGACCGAGAGGAACACGCCACTGAAACAAATTAAAAACAGATCGCTGAGTTTCTTACATTTTATGACTAAAAAGTCATTTGAATGGTTAAATAAACTGAATTAAAATGAAATATAATGAATTAAAATGAAATAAATGAATCAAAAAAGGTGAAATTAACTGAAAATAGAATAAAAATTTCAGATTACCCCCATTTCTCTTTTCTATGATTCTCTGAATCCTGACATCATAGTACTTTCCTCTTGTTTCTCTTATCGTCTCATGGACAGAGGCTATCAATGACATGGCTGAATTCAAGCTTTGTTTGCGATTTCACAAGGCTTTAGCACATCCAGAATAAAATGTTTTAGGAAACTGAATTGATCAGTTACGGTTTGTATAAGAAACCAATTCCAATGTTTTGAATCTATTTCCAATGTTTTGAGTATATCACCGCCATTGTCTTCGATTGTTTTGCACGCGACTAATTGTCCAGACCATCTCGTCTCTATTTATCTCTTTAGTCTTCCTCCAATATACTGTTCTTTTACGGCAGCTAATTTGAAAATTTTTTCAAATTAGCTGCCGTAAAAGAACAGAAACGGTACCAAAGTACTCTTTTAGTTCTGGAATATTTTTATTACATTTTCTACAACAATGTGTCGTCTGTGGCAAAAGCAATGAATGTACGGAACATTTCTTTGGCAGAATTGACTTATCAGAGCTTGCAATCCTCCTCGTTTTCCCGATTTAACACTAGCTCCATCAAACGCTTGCGATACTAACCCATAAAAGCCAATGTCACTGTCTTCTGATGTTTTCCGTACAAATGCAAAGATCTCTTTAACAGATCGACCCTACTCACCAACATCAAGTGCACTTTCTTCAATTTCCCCATTCTTGAAAGAAAAAATCGAATAACAACAACCTTCATCTCATTGTTGTTGCTGTCGGAGGTTCCATCAATCATTATAGTAAAAAGCTCAGATTGTCTTACTTTTGAAGCATGGAGATTCCTTCCTATATCGGCCATGGTTTGAACACTTTCATTCTAAATGTCAGATGACAAATACTTGGTGTTGCGTGGTTTCTTTTTTGCAAGGGCTGCAAGTTCTCGTTTGAGTTGAAATACCAGATTTTAAATTGTTCCCGAAAAACACAACCATAATGGACTTGGTTGAAATCATGGATCTCATCATCACCTTTTAGAGGTAGGCAATCAGCTGAAAGCCATTACATACATTTTTTATTTTTCAAAGCAGGTTAGAAAGTCTGGCAATTCAAAAGAGCTGATGTGGACCTGCTATAAATTAAAGGCTAAAGGAAATAATAATTACATCATGTAAAAGATAAAAAAAAATTAAAAATTGTTTACTAGCAGTCTAGTAATATTTAAAATCATTCTCTTTGTTTAAAAATCCAGTTAATACTTTTTGAAAAGTGAAATCATTTATTGTCTGACGCACCTTTTTTAGTCTTGTTTTGAAAGTTTGTACATTTTCTGCGTCCTTAATTTGGTCTGAGATAGAATTCCAAATCATTGTTGCTTTGTATGTGAAACTATTTCTGCCAGTCTTTGTATTATATCTTTTCACTTCGAACTGGAGTTTATTTCTTGTTCTTTGTTTTTCCGGGTCTTTCTTCTGAAACATCTATGCAATAGATTGATCAGCTCATCCAAAGTATATCTGGTGCATTAATGTGAGCAGCCTCCGAGATTGGCTGCCAATTTGCTCTTGCAAGGCTCTCTTCATTACTTAAGTTTCGAGTTAGATTGTGTATTAGCATCGCTGCAAAGTATTTTCCTGGATATACTTTCAACTTGTTCCATATGCACCAACTATGTAATTCATCCATTATGCTGTTTAATGTGTCTACAACACTTTCCAAGCCTTTGCCTGTGCAATAAACGGTTGTATCATCTGCAAAGAGATACATTTCACCTTGCGTAATTGCAGATGGTAAGTCATTGACATGTAAACATCTTAGGGCCTAGTAAAGATCCTTGGGGAACACCAAACCTAACATGTTTTGTTGAACTGCACTCACCATTAATCTCAGCATACTGAGTCCTGTCTGTAAGATAATTCATAATCAATGCGTGTAAATTTCCAGAGATTCCAGCTGCTTGCAATTTATACGACAAAATTTCATGGGAAACCGTATCGAAAGCTTTTTGGAAGTCTATAAACACCACATCAACAATCAAACCGTTATCAACTGATTGTTTCCATGACTCGGTCATTTTTAAGAGGATACCCTCCGTAGATTTTCTTTTGGCGAATCCCCACTGCATGTCAGTCACAATGTTGTTATCGTCTAAATGGCTATCGACAGTGTTGCAGATTTGGCTCTCTAGTAGCTTAGATGGGATGGACAGCATTGAGAGAGGCCTGTAATTTGTTCTCTCTTGTTTCTTTCCTTTTCTTGAAAGAAGATTTAATCCATGTTATCTTCCAGCATCTTGGAAATACATTCTGCTGGAAACTTGATTTGAAAATAATCTCCAGGCTGTTTACAATGCTACCTTGAAGTATTTTCAGTTCTCTGCAGGTAACTGAATCAGGCCCTGACGCTTTATGCGGACTTATTTTCCTTAACTGCTTCAAGAGAACATTTCTGTCGTAGCTTGGATCTTGTATTGTGGGAGTTATTCTATATACATGTTCAATTTCTTTGCCATTATTTTGTGTGAATGTTTGTGATATCTCCCTGCCAATATTTGCGTAGAAATCGCTCATAACTTCAGGTTTCTCTTTTTCGCCAAAAATTAGCTCCCCCTCTTTCGATTTTAATTGGCCTATTTTCGCTCTTTTGGTCTTATTGGTTACTTTGCTATAAATCTTCCAGAAATCTTGCTTGCAAGTTACTTCACTAAACTGCTCTCTCCAATATCTGGCTTCAGCCTTCCTTAGGAGTTTCCTTACTTCATTTTTTGCCCTTCGATATTGGTTCCATTCGTTTGACGTCTTTGGTGTTCCATCGCATTTTCTTAAAAGTTTGTATCTATAATTCATCATCTTTCTGATCTTGCTTTCAATCCAGGGTAAGGAGTCAGACCTGATATTCGCTTTTCTTCTCTTGATGTGGTCCTCAACTACATTCTCATACATTTTTGACCAGCACCATGTCATATCATCTATATCATCAAATGTTGAGCATACCCACCAAGGAGCATTCTCTATATCATTCTTGAATGCTTCTTCATCTAAAAGTTTGTAATTTTTGACGGTGATAATCTTTGGTTTTGCTTTACTTCTCTTTAGGGTGTACTTTACATAGACCAATTTATGATCTGCTATGCAGATGTCCTGGACACCACTAGTTACCAACTTGGATGCGTCATTAACTATAACAAGATCTAATACAGTCTTTGTTGTCTCAGTTACACTTGTGGGATCTTTGATCATGTTTTTAAGGTTGTAATTATTTAGTATTGTTTTTAATCTCCTTTCCTTATCATTCATACCATATGGTGTTAGATCAGAGTTCAGATCTCCAATGATCAGTAAATTCTTCCTTGTTTGCCATATTTGCTCTAATACTGGGGGAAACAGTGTATAGAAATTTTCTCTATCAGGTGGCCTATAAATTGTACCAATAAGCATCTTCTGTGAGCATAGTGATAATTCTCCCTGTTTAGCTTCTATTTCATACCCATCGATATGAAGTTCACAATCATCGATCCTATCTGTTAAATTGGTCTCTGTTAAGGATAAAAGATCTATGTTTGTATGTTGCAGTAGCAGCTTGACTTCGTTGATGTTTCTTACGAGACTCCGAACGTTTATATGTGCCACCATTATTCCTGGACCTTGTATTTTGCTCTCAGATCTTCACAGGCATTGATAGTACTATCGATATTTTCTTAAGGGTCTATTCCTTTTATGTTTTGCTCGATTGCCGTGTTGAGACAAGCTGGACATGTCCAAGTAGCCTGTGCTGTTTGTTTGATCTCCTTGAAGTGGCGTGGTGTAATGCCACTGCATTTTATATGGTAATGTTTATCACAACTTTCGCATGTAAGCTGGTTCTTTGCGACAGTTTTTCTACAATTATTGCATGGCTCTCTTACTGGCCCTGGGTTCATTTCAATGTCCCCGGATATGAAAAGTAATTCACCCACATGTACCTTTCGCTCCAACTGATAACACGATGTACTCCCATTATAGTAGCTAATCCTTGTCCTGTTGAACTTTGACCTTGACCTCTCAAAATGGCATACGGGCCTAAGTTCGTGGGTGATTTCAAATCCATTTTTATCCATGCCATCTTGATCTCTTTTTCGAGGATATGGGTTTGATGTGCTTATCAGTACACGATGTGAATAACAATGTTTCTGCAGTAAATATGAACAGAATAAGCAATATTTTCCACATTTTCACGAGCAGGCGAAAAGGCGTGTATCTTCAACAACAACATCAACAACATCCATTACATCAACAACATCAACATCAACAGCATTAACGACAAATGCATCTGTAGTTGGGCTTGGCGCTGAACTTTCATGGCACAGTCAAGCCGTTTGCGTTTGCATCAAGGAATTCTTCTAATGTAGAGAGACAGCATTGGAGAGCTTGAGGCTTTTGCATGCGTTTTGGCTTGTGATAAATAGGATCGATATTTGATTGGACATATCACAGATCACATGTCATAAGTGACTCTGCTCCAATCAGGATAGTTTACGGGATATTTATCAGACGGGATAATCTTTGCAAGCAGGATCCTGATGCTCATAAGGTGTTTGTTTTCCATATAATCAGATCATCCCGACAAGACGGGATATTTGCCAGGATATTTGAGTTTTTTCAAAATGGTTTCCACTAAAATTGAGCCAGAAAATGTGACCAAGGGTATGACTGACAAAAACAAAAGAAGAAAGATCTTCAGTTGGATGTCATCGACGATTGAGAACCTACTCAGCTGTTTAGAAAACTACCGTGCAGCAATGGAGTTCAAAGTCAAAGATTTCGATGAAGATGGGCCAGCCAGATACTTTGCACTGCGAGAAGAGATGACAAAAATGTCTGGTGTTGAGCAACTACACCTGAAGAGTTTGAACAATGATCAGACGAGGCCAAGAAAGAAGAGAAAAAAAAGAATGTAAGATTGGCGAGTATCAAGTAAGGATACATTTGACAACGTTTTTCTAATGCAGTGGTTTAGTCAAGGAGTGGAAGTGGAAAATTGTATTGGAACATTTTGATCGTCTGAAAACTAATTATAGGCGATCTACATCCAATAGCGTAGCGAGGGGGAGGGGGGCAAGGGGGGCATGCTCAGATTGTTGGTCTTTGAGAAAAGTCCAAATCTACAACAAAATTTGTACCTCAGGGGGAGGAGGGAGGGCACGAACAAAAATAAATAAGAGCAACAAGGCTTCATTTGCCAAAAAGTAATAACAGACGATCAAACAACAGAAAAAAACAATAAATCTTCGCTCATGTTTCCACGGCGTTATATTGTAGACGATTGGACGTAGGTATAGGTCTTTTGTATAATCAAGCCAATCGGAAATTTGAATGGCAATCGAAGTCTGGTGGGACAGGGCGCCTGTTAACAAAATAGAGCAATTTTTCTCACCAAAAATGCAACCGTCCTTCGTTACAATGCCATGCACAAATTTACTTAACTTTGAAACAATTGATGTTACGTAGATGTAAAAAGTCAATGGTGCAAAAACAAGGAACCAAATGCCATTATGGTAATGCAAAAAAAGTAGAACTTGGTCGAACAGAATATTGAAATTGAATTATACAAGTCAACTAAATTTTCACAACGGTATACAAGGCTTTATCAGAGTTTGCAATTTAATTTTTCGTTGAAAAGCTCTGCAATAAGAATTTGCAAGAGGTGCCCCTTCTAAACAACCTGCAGTGGGAAAGGCTCAAGGCCCAGCCCCAGATACCCCGTATAGCGGGCGCTTATGTAACCCTTCTGTAACTCCCTAACAAGCCTCACTCAACCTCTAGAGGCAGTACTCTTAAGTGCTATTGGCAATAAATACTTCCTACCAATGACGTCAATAAAATTGTAATAAATTATAGCTTATTTCAGTTTTTATATCTATTATTAACTACTAACAACAATGATAATTTTTCCATGTGTGCATGTCACCTAGATTGCTGATTGGCGATTATATCATCCCTGTAACAGCTAAATAGTATGGAATGAATAAGCTATTTATTTAGTTTCATGATTGTGAAAAACATCAATCTGATTTCTGTCAGCTCTCAACATGTTATTAAATATTACCTGATCATTTGTCCTGCAGGTTGAATACTCTTTCAAGCAATATGGTGTGAGTGGACAAGCAGGACCCCCAATAAGATGGTTAGGGATTTTGTATCGACCAGGAAGCAGGGTGTGATAGGTAATTGCGATTTTGCTGGAGGACTTATTTTTGCAAACTTTTGAATTTGCATAGATCTTTGCATCGTGCAAAGATCCAGGCCATTGATCATCATCATCAATAGATATCCATTTGTAATCACAAACTGCCTGAACTGATAAAGAAACGAAATGTTTGTAATCGAAAAAATCTTGTGGACATTCTGTTGGGCGAATTATTGGGACATGTGTTCCATCAATTGTCCCCAATGCTTGGGGCACTCCAAATTTTATTTCCATGTAAGTAACTTTCTTTTTTATTTCTTCTTCAGTTTTTGGCAAATACAGGAGTTGTGGACCAAGTTTTGCTTTAATGGCATCACATATCTCAACTACCCCCTTTGAAACTGTTGACTGGTGTATCGGCATGCCAAATGTATTGGCCGTCATCCATCGGTCTTTTAAATAGTACAAATATCCAGCAATCCTTTTGCGGCATCCAGTTTCCTTTGATTTGGCGAGGATTTATCAGGAGAAACATATGGCCTCAACATTTTAACCAGTTCATAAAATTTATCTTTAGTTAAATGGAAGCTTTTCACCTATTTCTAATCGTCATACTGAAAATTTAAAAACTTTTGCCAGAACTCATCGTTACCACCAATTTTTTTCCAAACTTATCTGGGCCTACGTTGCAAACGCTTCAGTCTTCTGGCTCCTAGTTTACTACGAAATGGTTCTTTTTCACAAAGAAAGAGCCACGAATGCGTCGTGTGTAAAAAATGTTTATTGAGAAATGATCGTGTTTATTAGTATCTTCTTCTTCAATATGTTGAGCGCCACTTTCAATGTCAAGTCAAAATTTGGCGCCAATCATCAAAATTCAAATAATGTCGCCAAAACATGCACTTGACCCGTCTAGCCGGGACGTTTCTCTCATGTAATCATAAACTGATATTTAAAACGGTTTAACCGCGAGAATTTGATCTCGGCAAATGCCCCGTCCAGGCTTGATGGAAAGTTTTCTCTCATATAATCAGGCCCTAAGGGATACACAAAAGGCAAATCGACAAGCGTGGTTTTGCAAAGTATTTGAAAATGAAAGTGAGCGACAAGACGAAGAAATGAACGAGAAAAAGCCTTTGTAACGTACAAAGTTTAAGACATGGAGAAAAATTGAGAAGCAACGCAAGTATTGAAAAACACTAGATATATTTAAAAACAGTTACTACTTTACATACGATCATTATATATACACTGTAATAAAGATATCTATGATAAACACTTTCAAATTCCAGTTATGTGCATAAGAAATGTTTTTTAAACAATAAATCTTTTTTTGATGTTTAACTAGAAAATGTGAAAGAGTGACATGTGGTCTTAAACTTATGCAGATGATTGTAGTTTTTAGACATTTTTACTGACAGAAGAGATGCTATATTCTACATAAACGTTTACTTTCTTTGCAGATAAGCAAGCATGCTATCAAGTTTCAGATAAAGTTTTGTTAGTTTATTCTAGGGTATGCTTAATAATTGTTTTTTGAGGAGAGTCTTGACAGCTTACTTCCGGATTATGAATCAGCAGTATATTATTTGTAATGGATATAAAAAGCTATAAGTTGTTTGGTTATTATATAGCATAGAAAATGGTCAATGAAACCTGACAGCAAGTACTGATGCCTCTACTTGAAATATCTTTTAAGAAAGGGATGCGCAAACAGTGCACTAGAGTCACCCAGGGATGTGCCGAAGGGGGGCGCATTTGGGACGTGGGAGATGTCTTCAAATTTCAAGAAAGTTTGTCATGCAGCGTAAACCTTAGATAGGTAGTGTTTGCCACAGTTTTTGAGCCAAATACCTCACAGTTTCTATTTCATAAGAAGTTGTCCTGGCTTATGGAATGCAAAGATTATTTTTAGTTCGCCAATCATGATGTACATTTCTTGTTTCAAAAGTCATGAACCTAGGGTTCAGGTTATGTTTGGTTTTGTATTTTTCTATCACTAAGTTCTGTAGATTGCGTTGGTGAATCGATACTGCATAATCCAATGTCAGCAATGCTTCGTAGTCAGCATGATTGTCTTTATAAACAATTCTGAGTGAACATCCAAATTAGGGGGCAATAGCTAAACTGTGCTTTTATGACACCGTTTATCAGAACCTTAAAATGGCGATACTTTAGCAAGGGCATGCAGTTCTTGGCTGGCTCTTTTAAATAAATTTGAGACGTGACTTTTGAAATTACGATTTTTATCTATTATCACCCCTAGCAGTTTTTCTTCAGAGCTTTCTTCAACAATGGTCTCATCGATTTTGGTCTTAATGTCATCTTGGTTTGTTCCAAAAGTAAGAAGATGACATTTCCGTTCATTCAATTTCATAAATATTTCTGGAAAGCACTTTGATAAAACAAGAGCATTAGTTTCTAGCCGTTCTAAAACTTTACCCAATCAAACGCAAAAATCGTAGTATCATCAGCAAAGTTACAAACTGCAGTATCAGTTACCATTAAGAATAAATCATTAATGTATGAATTAAATATAAGAGACCCGAGGACTGATCCTTGTGGTACACCTGCGAAGGTTTCTCGCCAAATGCTGAGTGGACAATTTAATTTGACCCTTTGTTTTCTTAATTATAAATCAGCAGTTGAGCATCTTTACAAAAACCATAGGCATTTAATTTCGCAATTGATAGCTCATGGTCTATGCAATCAAACGCTTTTGAGAGATCCATTAGCAAGGCACCAACCACCCCTTCTTCTTTTAGGGAATTCTTACAAATATCCATTGATCTCAACAGCGTATGCTGTGTGTTGAAACCTTTCCGAAAACCACATAAGTAGGGAACTAAGAACGTATCCGCGAAGGATTCCTTTTTCGTAATACACTCATTTCTTATATAAACCTTTTTATAAGAACCACGTAGTGGTACTAACGGTACTAGTCTAGCACCACTTTGTTTTTTAATTTTTCTTTAAACTTTTTATTCTAAAACTTTCAATAGCTCTTACTGCATGTACGCCTTTGCTCTGTGTAGCACAGACTCTTTTGAATGATGCCGCGCCAAAGTCAATATCTTACGGTCCGAAATGCTGTGGGCTTGAAATCCATTCTCTTACATCCTATCCAATTATGATGCCGTGATACTAGTATTCAAATTCTAGTACGGCCTCTCCAAAATTCATTGTTGTTTTGTTTTGTTTCTTTTGCTTCATATCGATGGAAAGAACTGCGGTGCGATGTTATAGTTAGGGAGTTACTAAAGGTTTTTGCTCCTTTCAGCTCCTCTCGTATCACACAGGACAGTACCCTGGGTACCAGACTCACTATATATAAAATAAAATAAAATTAAGAGTCTGGTCTAGTGCGCCCCATTCTCCTTCTGGTGAACTTACTTGAAAGAATTGTAGTCTATTTAAGAGACCAAGCCTGTGAAACAAGACTGTCGGATAAATAACAAAGAAACTCAGTAGTCAGAGGAGTTTTGGGAAATCTTAAAGCAATTTTTTTTTATATTGTTCTGTAAAGTCGACAATATTTATACAGTGATAACAGACTTTCCTGCCTCAAGATTTATATCAAATCAGGTGTAAAACGCCTTGGCAGCAAAAAACATGTGCGAAGCATGAAATTAACGTTAGCACAATGCAATTATTAAATGTTGATCATTGTTAAATTTCGTAAACAACTTAAAATGAGTCTTTTGTAATTTTCCTCAAAGTCTACTTCCTCACTGTGAAGGCAGCTCGCTTGGACACCGCGGCGGTTAGAATCATCACGTTGGAAGTTCATCACAGCAAATATGGCCAATACGACAAGCGAAGCCCTGTGTGCCGGGCGAAATATTAGCTGATTTACTTGTGTTTGTTGTTGTTTGTTCTCGGCACCTTGCGGTGTTTCTTATTTACTGCATTTCACTAC